AAGGATGGCCCAGCACAGAAGATCAACATCATCAGGCCAGGACTCTGCGGTCTACACTCATCTCCAGGCCAGCGGTCACTCTTTCAGGGATGAAGATGTTCACATCCTGGACAGAGAGGAACGATGGTTTGAGAGACGAGTAAAGGAGGCCATCTTTGTGAAAAGAAATCGTCCATCGTTAAACAGGGGTGGAGGCCTCCGGGTTCAACTGTCCCCCTCTTACAATGCTGTGATTGCTAGTATCACTCAGCCCTCTGTGAACAGTAAACAGCCATCAGTGTGCTAATGATCCATTGTTATGCTGATGGTCCTTCTTGAGCATGTGATCAGCTGGTTTTGGTTGTCAGCAGCAAAACTGGTTGATCCACTACGAGAAGGTGCTATTTAAGAGACTGAGCTGAAAACAGCTCCTCAGACTGAGGAAGTCTCTCGGATGAGAGACGAAACGTTTCTATATTTTTTTGCTTTGTTTTGTTTTTTGTTTTTTTGAATGTCCAGAGGACCAGATTGAACTTTTTTGGATTATTAATATAGTAATTATTAAATATAACCATATATAAAAGTATATGAAACTTATTATTAACAAGCTTTGTAGAGAGTGGTGAATGCCGCACATAAGTTTGTTGGAGTCAGTCTCCCCACCATCACAGACATCTACACCTCCAGATGAAGGAAGAGAGCCACCTGCATCATGAAGGACCCCACTCATCCAGCACACACACTTTTTGTCCCGCTCCCCTCAGGAAGGAGGTTGAGGAGCATGAAGTGTAGAACCACTAGACTGAGGAACAGCTTCTACCCTGAGGCTGTTAGACTCATGGATCTCTAACCAGAATAATCACTGTAAGGAAAAAAAATAAATAAATAAATCACTGTAATGCCACTTTGATTGGTGATATGTGCTTCTGATTAGCCATGCTGCTGATCACATGCTGCTGATTATTTCATGCTGCTGTATTAATTCGTACCCATCTGCTCACACAGACTCATGTTCGTGCTGCTGTTGTTACACCATATTGTTTTGCATTATTAATGTTTAGCGCATATCTTAGATCTTTTGGCGTACCGTTTGTTCATTTAGCGTATATCTTAGTGTATATCTTAGATCCTTATTTACTGTTTCTTTTTACACTTTATATTTTTGCTATTTTTGGGTGTAACTGAGTCCCTGTGTACATAATTTTGTTCCACCTCATGTACCACATGTGCTCAGAACAACAATAAACCTACTTGAACTTATTACAAGTTCTGAGAATAAATCAGATTTACATTTAAATTAATATATTGTCAGTTGAAACACCAAGTATCTGTTTTTTAGGTGCTACTGCAATCAAATTCAAAATTATCTTATTTTTCCTAAACTGGTACAATTTTAATTTACTTTTTAGTTTAATTTGTGGTGAATAAAATATGAGTTTATAAAACTTGCAAATCATTGCATTCTATTTTATTTATTTTTTACAATTCTACATACAGTTCATCTATGTTACGATGCTTTACAAATAAAATGTGTTTAATAATGCCAAACTTTTTCAAAATCAGGGTTGAACATACCACACATCTGTAAATGACCTTTGTACAACACAAATACAGTATCTGAAGGCAATAAGCTATTTCTTTTGAGGCGGCTGTGGCTGAGTGGTTAGAGCTGTCGTCCTCCAATGGGAGAGTTGGGGGTTCAATTCCACCAGCAGTCACATGCTGAAGTGCCCCTGGGCAAGAAGACACTGAACCCCTCATTGTCTCTGATGTGTGTCCCATCGGTGCATGAATGTGATAAAGCTCTGATTATTCTGTGTATAGATCTAGTAGAGCGCTGTATGAATGGGTGAACGAGGCACAGATTGAAGCTTGAAGAGCTTTGAGTGTCTGGATCAGATAGAAAGGCGCCTCTACAGTCCATTTACCATTTATTTGATCTCTTTTCAGATTGTGAATGAAGCAGCGAAGTATCGATACCGATCTGGTAACTTGTTTGACTGTGGGAACCTCACCATTCGGGCTCCATGGGGATGCGTTGGTCATGGATCCCTTTACCATTCTCAAAGTCCTGAGGCTTTTTTTGCCCACTGCCCTGGTATCAAAGTAAGTCCAAGTCAATAAAAATTACTCAAAAAGTAATTTGTTATGTACTTAGTTGAAGAGTTGGGTTATTCCCAGTAAAGGGTGATTTTGCTCTGAATCAAGGGAAACAAAATGTCTTCTTTTTATTTTTGTACCTGTCTAGCATTGTGGTGTCATTTTTCTTGTAACAAAATCTAACTTTTATTGAGTAATAAATCTTAAAATATTTCTCTGCTGTTGCAGCATGTACAGAGATTAAGGTTCTTTCGCAAAGTCATGACATGAGCCAGTCCAGAGAGAGCCTTAAAGTCTGTCCCCTTTAACTTGGTCAGCGATCACTCAGTGTAGATGTTGTTACAGCTCAGTACACTGCCATGTGATGTATTCACGTATACAATTGTGACGGCAAGTTACTATTTATTTTGAACGGTTTCTGGAAATATCCTGAAAACGAGAAGTTTTCAAGTTTTTGTGTTTAAACAACCAGACTTGGTCAGGATCAAAACTGTTCAGTGTATGAGAACACTCAAAAGATAGTTAAAATGAGAATAAAGAGTAACACTTTTCATTATTGGCTGAGAGCAACAAGCATTTTGCAAACAAAGGTCACGCAGCTAAATGTTACTCTGTATACCATCAGGTTTGCTCCCTCCATCTGAAACAAAAGTAAAAGCCTTTCATGCACAGCTCTGTACATTTAAAGCATTTTTAATTGCGTGCTGCCAAATCTAAGTGATGAAAATGTCTCGAGCCTTTTCGGTGCTCATTAGACGCGACCCACTGTTCAAGGCGTAACTCTGTCCGGTCAGCTAAAAACTGACATTTTGACTACAATAGTAGTTATGAAGTTATGAACCGAGTCTGTGGCAGTGGGTGGAGTCCGACTCCGTGAAAGACTGTGGTGTTCTTGTTTATGGAGGGTTAACGTATTCTGATATTAGATAAAACGTGGCTTTTAGTTAAGTTTGTTTTTATTAAACTCGTTTAAGTTTGAGTTTATTTTTAATAATATTGTCCAGCTGATAACAACGACTGACTTAACATTGTAATTTTGTGTTACTGGATGCTTTCTTCCACTTTTTATACATTAAACATGTTAAACTTAAGATATTATTGTCAAGGGGTTTTGGTCAATGTTTATGGATGGTTTTACTATGACAGAATGTTAACTGCCTATGAACCATGTGTTTGAGTGAGCAGAGAGTTATTTTCTGTCTGAGAGAGGGCTGGATCAGGAGCTGATTTGATCCTGCATGTGCAGCTGGATGGCCGAGGTCATCAGTGTCTGCCTGTGAACTGATAACCTTATAAAAACAAGCCTCGCACGCTGCCCGTGGCAGATTCTCCTGACTCGGCTCCATGCATGTAACTTCTGTACGTCTGTGTAACCTGTTGTGAAAGTCGGCCCTTGCAAGTAAAACCGGTTCAAAATCTTCTCGTGTCCTCGAGTGTGGCTTCTTTCAGTAAATGAAATAAATAGAGGATATTTTTATCCAACAATTATTTGACTTTCTGTTCTCATTACAACTCTAAATATGATGGTGAGATGCAATACATGTCTACATTTACCTCTCAGCTTCTGTTTTATTCTCTCATATCCAGGCCAGGGTAGCGCAACTATTTAAATATCAATATTATAGTCGATATTGTTATTATCGAAGACAGTTGTTCACAGAGTTTGAAAACATTGCATTTTTTACACGGAAATAGCAAATCCATAGACTGTGAATATTTGTTTGTTTTTATCTTGTGTACCTTTTCCTTTAAATAACCTGCAAAGTATTTTTTAATGTAGGCTACTGTATAAAATAAACAATATAAACACATGAAATCAGAAATATAGAGCACTTCTGTTTTATTGTAGGGCATCTTTCCCCAAACGTTTAGCTTTTTTTTTCATGTTTTATCTAACCATAAAACATGAAATTTATAAAATAATTATGAGATGAGTCTTTTTTTTTCACTGAAAAATGTCTGTCATATGGAGGATTAATACAATTTTAGTATTTAAAAGAAAAAAATACCTAATATTTTATGAAAATTGACCAATTTAAATTATAATAAGGAAAATATATCAAATAATTTGAGTTCAACAGATCCTCCGATGCTTAGTAAAGTTTATACAAATTAGCCTGTAGGGCCTAAATCATTTATAGAAAACTTCAGTACTTTTGTAAAATAAAAGTTCCACATGGTTGATTCACATGGGAGCAAATAAACCTTTCCTTTTTGTGATAAATGTATAATAATATTTTTTTATTAAAACTTTTGTTTCATTTCTAATATTTTTGTGACTGTTTATTTTAATGTTGTTTCAAAAATCAAAACTAAAAATGTGATTAATTTCAGCCTCACGTCCTCATTACAGTCAACAATAAAACAACAGTGTTACCAACAATGCAAACAGTTTAAAGAGTAAAGCTCAGCTACTAATGACGTAAAGCAAAGTTTTACTTAATTTAAGAAAAAAATAAACAGCCTAAAAAAATTGTGCTTGCAAATCATTTTTGTGTTTCGGCTGCTTCCTTGTCGCCACAGCAGATCTTCTGTCTTCAAGTCCATTTTCCACCAGAACCCCACTTGTCAACATATCTTGCAAATGAATTCAGTAAGAACAAGGGAAAAGTCATCGTTTCGCAGCGCTGCATAAAAACACTGAACACTTTTTTGTGTATTTGGAAAGTTTAGAAATGTCATGTTTTGTGTGTCTCAGGTTGTAATACCTCGTGGTCCGGTGCAGGCCAAAGGGCTGCTTCTCTCCTGCATTGCTGACCAGAATCCATGCATATTCTTCGAGCCCAAGATTCTTTACAGAGCAGCAGGTAAGCCTAAATGTGCTTCAATATGAAGGTTTGATCTGTGGCTGACTGTCTTCGCATCTCGAGACGATGACAATGATTGGATGCATTAAAGACACAACAGCAGTAAAAGAGCAACAATATAACACAATACAGTTCAGTCTTTAATCTCAATATATAAATATAATTAAATCAGTTTTGATTCAACTTTTAAATCGGTCACTAGGGGGCACAAGCCAGTGTATCTCTTGTGCTGGTCCCAGCTAGTATGCCAATGCAAGGAGGACGCCCCCTCTACCAAAACAGAACCGCCTGCCCCCCCATGAAGGTGATGGCATGTGATAAATTAAACTAAACATCTAAGTAGTAAACGTACATGTTTGCATGTGACCAACTCACTGCAACCGGAGGAAATACCTGAACTGATACACCATCACCCTCCACCCCCTCCTCCTGCACCGCTCCCCAACCTCCCTGGGACTTTTGTATCTAAAATCAAACTTTGTATTAAGTGTTAATGTGTTCGTAGCATCGTCATCATCGTGCAGACATGTCCAACCTGTGCACGTGACTGAGCTTCGGGTCAGAGAGAGAGACAGTTTCTGCTTCTTTAGTATTTCTAAATAAATATTAACAGTAAAAGTCAAATATTTATGCCCCATATTATAGCACACACGTGTCTCTGTTTCAATTTAATTTTCCCCAGATTCACCAAGTTCTCTCTGTTGTTTGTAGTTTATCCTAAATATCTGCTAAATTCATTTCTACATGCTAGTTTAGCATTAACAAGGTGTTGTGGCTGTCTGGATGAGCTACACGGGATTATATTTAGAGTCATACTGAGAGGTAACAGTACTGTGATAAATGTAATTAATAAATGATCAAATGTGAAAAATAAATAGCATTAAATGACCACAAGAGCTCAAACTCTGTAAAGATAATCCCTTTGAATGAAATAATCCTTTTTGAGGAAGACTGTCAGCCTAGAAAAAAAAAATCTTAATAATTAAAAAATATTAGTTAAAATTAAGTTAATTTATACTCTGCAAAGGACTTCCTGTGGTATTGTAATCTTTATATATATATACATTTTATTTTATTTATTTTATTTTTTTCTGACAACCCTTCAGTTGAAAACACTGAAATTGCGTAAAAAATAAACCAGAGAAAAGTTGTTCAAACCACTCTCTTCAGAATGATGATGGTCTAGATGGTGCAGGTTAAAGTCTTCTTACAACTTCAGCACTTCAGAGAACACTACACCCTGTACTTTGATGAAAAGATGACTGCTCAATACCGTCCATCCATCTGTCCGTCCGTCCGTCCGTCTGTCCATCCGTCCATTGTCTTTACCGTTTCTTCCTTTCTGATTCATGGGGGTCACTGGTGTCCATATCCAGCAGTCACTGTGTGAGAGGTGGGGGACACCCTGGACAGGTCTCCAGTCCATCACAGGGACACAGAGACAAACGAGACAAACAATCATTCACTCTCTCACTCACACCTAGAGACAATTTAGAGTTACCAATCAGTCTAACATGCATGTTTTTGGTCTGTGGGAGGAAATCGGAGTACCTGGAGAAAACCCACGCAGCACGGAGAGAACATGCAAACTCCACCCAGAAAGGCCTCAGCCTATTATATTGTATTGGTGTAGATTCTGTATGTAATGGACATCTACTGTTAATCCCAAGATTGCATCTGTGCATGGCAGCTTCACTGATCTGGTCTCATTGGGTTCGTGCTTTTCTGTGAACTGGTGCAAATCAATTAATTTTCACAGCTCCAGTAAATCAAAATGTGCTTTGTTTTTGTTTGTTTTGGTCTTTAATTTGATAATTCATCAAGTCCCACAGTTCATACTTATGGTTGCTGTTATGTTGGGTACTGAAAAGATTTGTAACATAAAAAAAATATTCCAGTCAGCATCCACCACCAGCTAGAGCACAAGTTTTACTTCTGATGACAGTCAGGAAAGTACCTTTAAAACATTAGTACTGTACCGTAATTTCCAGAATATAAGACACTATTTTTTTCTCAGGCCTTGAACCCACAGCTTATACAATGCTGCGGCTAATATATGGATTTTTATTTTTTGACGGGCTAACGAGCTTCATGCTGCCAAAACATTTTGGCCTCGTCACACCCGGGCGCTCATATAGCTGCCCAATACACATCTCTGTTTTTGGGGGGTCGTGACTCAGTGAGTCTACCTGTACAAATAAAGGTAAAAAAACCCCACAAATTTCATTGGTCAGATAAAGGCAGCTGTAGTGCATTGGTTGAAAAGCTTGAAATAAATGCCTTTTCTTTGAATCCCTTGCATGAAATGTCCAAAATACAATCCTAAAGAATGTTTAGAAGCACTTCTCTGACCAGTACCAATAACAAACTATAATTCTGAGTGGAAAAGCCTTCAATTCTTGCTATTTTCTCTTTGTGCTAGTGAAGCTTTTGTTCTTTCTAGCTGGGAAATCCCAGTATCCAAATACTGTTTCCTTTTTCAAACAATGTCAAGAAATCCTCATTAGAATATGCTAAAAATATGATTTAATAATTTATTTAGGGGTTATCCCAATAAGCAAAATAAATCAAGCCATATCTCTGGAACCTCGTGATATTGTTTATTTATTTATTAATCTTTATTTAACCAGGCAAATCCCACTGAGATCACAGATCTCTTTTGCAAGGGAGGCCTGGTCTTGAAGGCAGCCTGACATGCATGTTTTTGATCTGTGGGAGGAAACTGGAGTATCTGGAGAAAACCCGTTGGGATGGTGTGGATATCAAAATGCAACCTAAAAGTCCAGAAATCTGAAAATGTGCTGTTCATTTTGACCAAATCTGATTTAATCATCAGTTTGATGTGATGGGTCACATGTCCTCAGTTTTATCAGGACTGAAGACTATTTATTCATTTAATAAAACTCAACAAACAACAGTGATTTTTATTTTTTTCTTGTTTTGACTCACCAGCAGGCACTGTTATTCGTAGAAACATTACCTGCTCTTTTTCCAGACAGTTTGCGTGGACAGCAGTCCAGATGGTTCTGTGTGGCAAACCATCTGGAGCATTAGTTTAGTGCAAACATCAGTGAAATCATCAGGAGCAGAAGTTTGGAGCACGCCATCTATGTGGCATGTGAAGTGTTGACAGTGCCAAGTCTAACCCCCCACCTCCTCATCTTTCCTGTGAGTAGCAATGGGCATAGAAAGCTACAACTGCAAACTTAATAAGCTCAGTTGTTAGCAGCTGTTGTAAAACGCTGCTTGATAATAACCTGATTTGTATGATTTAAGATGACAACTTCATTATAGTAATTAAAGACCGTCTGCGACAAGTGTTGGATGTGATTGTGTAGTGTGTGCGCAAAATCACATCTTTCATGGAGCAATTTATTCTGTGACAGAGCTGTTTATTTAAGACCGTCACTGTAACAATGAGGTTTCAACATTTTTACACATTTTCCCAAAAACATAAAACGGCTTTGGGGGAGGATGTGAAGAGAAAGACATCAAGTAACAGCCACTTAAAGATCAAGAAGAATGGCCATATCTCAGGAATGTACATGAGCTTTTTGGGGGCAAATAAGAGTCAGATGGAAAATAAGAAGGTTGTGAGAGACTCAACGTGCACCAGGTTTCCTGCAGGTGAACGTTTTACTTTGAGGTCATGTGTTGTAACCTAATTCTCAAAGGCCTTTTCAGTTGCTACAAATAAAAACTCGCCAGCGCTGTCGTGCAGCTGGTTGTTGTTTTCATCAGTTGCTCACCATGTAGCTCTGAATCTGTGCAGAGCTGTTCTGATCCAGATGCAGAAGCCAATTTTTGATTTGCCGTAAACAAACGTCTTCAATTTCCACATGTACGTTTGACATCATGTCATGCATTATTGCAGAGATTTCCAAACCAGTTATTTTCTAGATGCTCCCCCTCCTGATCCAAACAAACTGCTCCCTCATGCCTTCAAGCCTGTGCACAAACTTCTGTTTAACAAAAAACGATGAGCAAACTCGTTTAATTTTTTGCAAATAAGTGCTGGAATTTATTTTCCTTTGAAAGCTAACGGTCACAATGTTTGATGCAACCGTTTAGGAGTAAGATGTGATGTTTGTAGCAGCTGGCTGCAGGCTTCTGTTTTTATTGTAACATGAAACTCATAACTCTAACACACATATAAAGTTCTGAATGAAAGTCCATCGTTGGTCAGTCTGAGTACAGCAGCTTGGTTTTAAAAGATTTTTAAAAATGGTCCTTGTTCTACTGGGACTTCTTTCTTCTTTTCATTCTGAATCAGCTTAAAAGCAGATGAGTTCGTCACAGCTAAAGGTAGGTTTTCACTGGGCTACGACTGTTGGGATAGTGGTAAATGTTTGCGAGGTGGTCTCTAAAATGGCTTTAAATGTTTGTGTATTTCTTTACACGAGCTGCTGAGGCGGCTCACAGTCTTTTTGCTTGAGTTATGAATTAAGATCTTTAGAAAATGAGTGCCACAAACTTTCTATAAGTTAGTCACAGAGTTGTTGCAAGAGTTTCCAACCTGTTTCAAGGGTGCTAGAGCTGGTCTTTGACCCAGTTCAATTTATTTATAAAGCACCAAGTCACAACAGAAGTCGTCTCAGGGCACTGAACAAAAACAGCCACACACGTGGAAACGCCAGTTACCGGTAGTAATGTTGTCTATCTAAGGAAGCCAGCTGATTGTATTGAATCTTCACTTCATCTCAGTCAACTGAAAGATCTGCCTCCCATTCTGCTTTTGGAAACTCTAGGAATCACAAGGAAACCTGCAGTCTAAGAGCAAAGTGCTCTGTTGGGAAAATATGGAACAATAAGATCTGTAATATAAAACTGAGCTTTGTATGTTAGAAGTAATATATTTAGTTCTATTCTGAATGTGACGTGCTAGCAAGATACCACCTAGGCAGTGGTTTGGAGGCCCAAAATCCACCTCACTGATAAAAAAGATTTATTGAAAAACGGATCCACATCTTCCTGTGCTCATCGGTAATGTGGGGACAGCGTCCAAGGTGGTGAACCATGATAATCAACAAATGTATGTGCATGACCTAGAATACAGGTTTTCTGCCATCAAATTCAAAATTATCTTATTTCCTAAAAAGTACAATTTCTTCATTTAAGCATTTGATGATTACTTTGTTCCATTGTGAATAGAATTTAGGTCTGAGATTTCCAAATAATTACATTCTGTTTTTAATGTGCATTAAACACAACATCCCAACCAGCTTTAGAATGCCAGGGTCAGAACACAAGTGCCCCCGTCTTTGACTACTAGCACCATGACCCATATGACCACTCCTGCAGGAGATGGGCCCACGGAAAGTCAAATCCCCCCATAGAAGGCAAATATACTTTTCTTTTTTTAGGCTACAACAATGTAATTATTTAAAAGTTGTGTTATAGTACCGGTAAATGGTAAATGGACTGTACTTATACAGCACTTTTCTGTCTAATCAAGATACTCGACGCTCTTTAAACTACAATCTGTGCCTTCATTTACCCGTTCATACAGCACTCTACTAGTCAGAGATTCATTTGTCATTCACATCTGATGTGGTACACGTGGTGGAACGGAATTATGTACACAGGGTCCCAGTTACATCCCACAATAAAATGTAAAAGAAAAACAGTAAACAAATCTAAGATATGAACTAAGAAAAACATCAACTAAAAATACACTAAGCACTCATAACATAAAAACAATACATCGAACAGCAGCACGAACATGAGTCTGATGAAAAAATGTAGAAACGTTTCTCCATTTTTTTGTTGTTGTCGTTTTGCTTTGTTTTCGTTTGTTGAATGTCCAGAGGACCAGATTTAACTTTTTTAGATTTTTCTACCTGGATTATTGAGCATGCATCAGGATAAGATAGACTTAATATTACTTCCCTGATGTCTATTAAGGAATATGTTCTTCAGAAAGTCCCTTTCTGATAACACTTTTTTGTTTAACATTTTATGTTTCTGAGTGAGGGTTGGTGGTTAAAAACCCTGCAGTGATTTTAGCTGTAGCAGCATCTCCCTTGTCAGAAGATGAGAATTACTCTCATTCCACCTTTATTTAAACAGGTTAGTCTCATTGAGTCACGAGGACTCATTTTCAAGAGAGACCTGTTGTAGACAGACAACATATGAAGTACAGACAACAATATACAACAATACAAAGCAATAAAAAAACTAGTGTTATAATAATCAAATCAAGGTGCCATATAAAACAAGGTAAATACTAAAAACAAGAACATATTTGCTTAGATTTTTATAATGACCTTATCAAATGTTTAAAATTAGGGACGCTCAATATTGGATTTTTGGCCGATATCTGATATGGCAGTACATATTTCACGCTGCTGTGTTCATTCGTACTCATCTGCTCACAGACTCATGTTCGTGCTGCTGTTGTTCGGTGTATTGGTTTTGTACCATTAGTGCTTAGTGCATTCTTAGTTTAGCATATTTCTTAGTTCATATCTTAGATTTTATTGGTGTTTTTCATTACAATTTATACTTTTGTTGGATGTAAATGTGTACACAATTTCATTCCACCGCATGTACATGTGGTGCAAATGACGGTAAAGAAACCTTGATCTTGACCTTGATGTTAAAACTTATTTGGTTAATAACCAATATGGATATTTTTTCCCCTAGACCTACTTACAGAGACTACACAGCTTTCTCTGCTGTGGAATTAACATTCTACATTATTCTGCATGGTCTTTGTCAGTTTGGCCTGCTACCAAATACAGATGCCAAATAGGGGGCTGAAAGTGATGTAATAGTTCAACTTGGATTATGTTTAATGTCAAATTTATTCATGACATTTACTCTCTCTAACACAGTGACAACATTCGCAACAGTGCTAATTTGTAAATTTTCACAAATCTAAACTCAAACTGTTCACAAACAACAAGTGAAAAGCGCACAAGTAGTGCATTAATAGACATGCTTGACAGTTTCTAAAACTAAAAATTAACTTAAAACAGAAGCCTTTTATATCGGTGAGTTATTTTGATGGAATGTCTGATATTTAACTTTATCGTTAGTATTGGCCAATACTGATACCATGTAGATAATATCGTGCATCCCTATTTAAAATCCCTAAAATAAATCAAAGCTTCAGATCCTGTTACAAGGTGTTCCAGGTTCCAGGGGCAGAGTAAGAAAAGGCCTTTGTGCCAGTTTCAGTCCTCACTGAGGGGACGCTGCAGGTAATGATGTCATGTTTGTCCCATCTGTGCCATACTACTCATACTCATTATACTATAACCTGGCCTTCATAATTTCATTTTAACGTTCTAAAAATGTCATTTCCCTCAATTTGCCAATTTTATGTCTCGTCTGGAAGTCTAACCGGGCGTTAACATGTGTTTCAGCAAAAGTTGTTTAAATATAGTGAGTCATCAAGACGAGCAATTATTCGTTCCCTTTGCCACTTCTCAAAGGTTTTAAAACACTATAGAAGCCACAGAAGATTTCCAGAAAGGTCTAAAAATGTGCCCTCTCTCCAGAGTGTAATTACTCGGTCTGATTGTCATTTCAGCTTCATGCTTGGTCACTTAGAGAAGCTTTGATGGCTCGAGTTCCTCCTAACTTCACTAACACTAGAATTCTGTCTTTACAAAGACTGGAGCCAAAGTCTCGTTGGTGAAGAGTTTAGTCAAGTAGCTCAATTTTCAGAATAAAGGGTGAATATTTGCATTAAAGTACTGCTAACAAGTAATTATTTAGTAGCAATGGCAAGTTCTAGAGTTTTTGCAAATTAAATAATCACATGACCAAAGTTTTCCAAGACATTCGTAACTTCTACACAACCCATGCACTTCCATGTACTTTGTGTTGGGTTTTGTTCAGCTAGAAGCTAGCCACGAGTCTCTCGCTTTTGGAATGTTATGTCTTTTTGCTAATCACTACCTCATCCCGTCGGTGTTTTGTGGTTCGGATTGATCAGTTATTGGCCAGAGCCTGATGACAGCTCCAAATGGTTGTTCTCATAAAACCACCTCTGGAAACATCGTAGAGTACTGGTAACAACTCTTGATCATTGTTTTAGTTCAGAAGTTTGTGGGGTTTTATCATTTTGTTTCCTGTTATTTCAGAGTTTTGTCATCTGGTTCGTAATTACGAGGTACAACTTGTGACCCAAGTATTTTACAGAAACCACAAGGGACACGATGAAACTTTGAATAAATCTGTTGAGCAGCAGTCGTTGATTATTTTGCATGTGAGCTTATGTGTTTTTGTGTGTGTGTCCTCAGTGGAGCAGGTTCCAGTAGAGTCTTACACCGTCCCACTCTCACAAGCCGAGGTCCTAGACGAAGGAAGTGACATCACACTAGTTGCCTGGGGGACACAGGTAGGTGATTTTACTGCTTATTAACAGATTTAAAGCGTGTCACCTGAACAGTTTGAAGCTTTCATGTCTTTGGCAAATTGTTCTTAGCCTCAGGAAGAAAGGATTTATTTCCAATCTTCATTAAGTGTCATTTAATACTACCAAGGCAGGCAGTGGATTATCTTTAAGTCCATCACAAGCTTTCTTTTTTCCCAGCGTGATATCTCAGCCAGCGGTCTTAGACAATATCCGCTGTAATATCTACTCAGAGTTGAGGATTTTCTTAGTTTTCAACACCGTAGGCCTACTTTCACTCATTATTGTCACTTTTCTTTTTACAGAAGAAATGAAATGTTCTACAGCGTGTTGGAATAAGCCCTGTTGCTCAACAGGAATCATCATGATTTGATTGTGCCCAGACTTTTTATCAGGCTTATCGCAGGTGTAATTTACTCTCAGCATGGCAGGAGGGTTGAGAGGCATTGAGGTGGATTATTTTTATATTTTTATTACTAAAGCCAGTATTATTGCTCAAGTGTGGAGAGAAGAAATAATGTCTGGCAAAATAGAAGAAAGCTTAACTCTTCTTTTGGAAAGGACTTCTCTTTTTCCCTTTTATATCACCTCACTTATCTGCCAGACAAGAGAAAATCACTTTCACAGATTCCTCTTTTTTAGCAGGTGTTGCTGCCGGGTCGATATCAGTTCAACCAATTTAGATCTGGTTCAACTTTAAACCTGGAGAGCTTGTTAGCCCGCAGCCACTAAGCCAGGGCTATTCAACTGGCGGCCCGGGGGCCAAATCAGGCCCACGGGTGAGCTCAGTTCAGCCCACCAATTAGATTTTAAACTGTAAAACAAACTTATTTAATGAGAATAACTGCTGGATGTCCGGCCCCTGAGCTCTTGTCTTTCAGTAACTGTGCTCCCCTGAGCAATTTAGTTGAACAGCTCTGCATTAGATCATTTTATTCAACAATATTGTTTCCAGCATGTCCCATGAACCTCCTTGTAGTGGACTGAATTTCTCTTTAGGATCAGACCGTTTATCCACACAGTTGTGTAATTCTGTAGATATTTCCAATCTGTAGTCTGGGACTGTTGTCACCGTGCTGTTAGGCATTTCTGACTACTGTCGTCCCTCGCTCTGTCGTGGTTCAGTTCCTGCAGCTTCACTGCATCGCAGATTAAAAAAATATATAATACATATATAGACCGACATGTGCAGACTCCCACCAGTCTTTAAAAAAAAGCTTATTGAACGCGCTGCTGTGTCTGGTTGAATATTCAGGTCCTCCGCTAAATTCATTACAGTGATTCATTCATTCATTTTCATCCAGTCAATAAGAAAGTGGGAAAGGTTTGTAGAGTGTGAGAAGGGTTTATAAAGCCTTAAATATAAATAATAAAATAAATATAACACCACAGCTTCACAGATTTTCACCAACCGTGGGGGGTCTCTGGAACGAAACCCCCATGACAGGTGAGGGATCACTGTACTGAGCACCACATTTGTATGGAACTGATAAACAGCAGCTGATATTTAGACACTCATCAGTGTTTATACAAGTTTAAACATTATTTATGCATTAGTATAAATAATTAGTATTAGAAGTGCAAACTGCTGCTGCATTGTGCAACACTCAAACGCAGTATTAAAGGAAACTTTTGACCAGCTTGTGTAAAATGTATAAATAATTCATCAGTTTGGAGAAATAAAGCTCATGTCCAGCAGGACTGACGAGCTAGTCCCAGCACTTTGGTCCCCAGACCAGACTGGATTGTTGCTGCCTTAAAACTGCTGAAGGCTCCAAAATGTATTTGCAGTTCATGTGAACACTATTTTATAACCTTTATAAACTGCCTTCAATTGCTTGTTGCATTATTTTTCCACTAAAAACATATGTTTTCTTACAAGTGTAAATAGCACTAACAGTAGTAACACAGCGCTTCCAGAGTTCACATTTGGCAGAAATTTCTCAACATTTCTGCCAAAATACCTGTGTAATGTAAAATGGAGGACCGTGTAAAAGCTGAAATAAGAGCTTTCTCTTGAACCACTGTGAAATTTATAAGATTGCAGCATCTTTAAGGAGGCAACAGTCCACTGTGGTCTACTGTACAGTCAAACTAGCCAAGACCTCCTCAGTCTTGTCAAAGCTATTTCTTCAAACTGAGGTCCTGGGGGATGGGTTACGTATACTTTTTAGCTTTTTACTTTATTACCTCATTTTCTTATTTACTTCTTACATGCTGACATAACTGGGCCTCAGGAACTGTGTTTCATTCCTCCTCATGTATGTCATGTTCTGACACTTTTTATTTATAACAAATTCTCATGAGCCACTTAAATATTTCAAAAACTAGAAGCTGCACTGGCTAAAAATCTGATGCTGATGCCAAGTGTTCTCTGAAACTTCTTGATCACCTGAACCAGTGCCGGCAAGTTCACACTTTACAAGATCTACTTCAACGTTCTTAAGTAAAAATGTTCATCTGCCTAGTTTACCATGTCAGTCTCAAATTCACTGTTCAAAACAAAGTTGTTCACATTACATTCATTTATTTTACACGAGTCAACATAATCTTTAATGTGTGTATCTTGGTTGGTAGAATGTCATGCAGTAAGTTGCATGTCTATTGCATAGTTTGTGGATTTTTCTCAACGTTTTATTTGCTTTTTTTCTATTATCTGTTAACACATTTACAAAGTTGCTTGCATACACTTTTTATTTTTACTTGTCAAAAGTAAAACACATTTGTAATTTGGACAGAAGGTGTCCCGTTAGTGGCGTTGGACCTGGACGGTCTCTGGCTGCAGTATGTATCTGTGAGATAAAAGAGATCTGGTCTGCAGACAGAGTTTAGCACAAGCGTACGGTTTTTATAGTTTCAAGCAGGTCGATTTAAAATGATTTGGAGAAGCTATCATTTGTCATTCCCTCAAAGATAGAGGTACCTACACAGAGTGTATGATCATACTGACCTCAGCGTTCACACAGCAGATTACCAGATTCTGCCTGTGAATGTAAATATGGAAAACTTTTTCCTGCATGAAGGTTTTTCTTAAAACTCTTAGTTGCCATTTGTTTAAAAATGTGTAATGTCCTCACAGAAGGGCTGTCACAATACTAAAAGTTCAAACTAGTTAAAATGTGTTATTTTCAATGTTTATAGAAGAAAAAAAATCTAAATTAGGAAGTTTTATTTTTTACTACTGCAGACTGACTTTTATCATTAACAGTACAGATGTTTTAACAGTACAGATGTTTAAACAGTACAGATGTTTAAACAGTACATTTTACAAACACCTATATTCAAAGTGGCTTTCTGCTTTTTTTAAATGTGTTTTTGAAAACAGTTTTTGTTTTTGTTGTTTGTTTTTTATTTTTCTATGTTATGCCACCAACAGTTTTGCCTGACATTATTTAAATTGAATTCTGTGGTTATTTGCTCGTGCTAATAGCAGCAGCTATCCATAGCACTTCTACTGAAGCCTGGACACATTTCTGTCTGGGATGTTGTATTTATGCCAGAGTAAACACATAAGGCAAAATTAAGGGTGGCGTAAAGGTTTATAGAAGAGTTAGCATAAATTGTTGCAACGCTTTTGAGCTGGGAGTTGAGAGAGAGGGAGATCATGATATTCTGTGTCTTTTAGAGCGTAGAGTTTAGAAACATTGTTTAAAATATTGCAAGAGTGTGGGGAGGGTTTAGAACACCTTCACATATATATATA